GCTTGAGGTCTGCGTGCTGCAGAGAACCTGAGACCACGTAGCCACAATGGCGTCTGCCAGAGTGACCTTTATTCTGCTGCCTGAGAGTAGAAGAGGGATGATGTTTGTTGTTTCTGCTTCTCTATTGTTTGTCTCAGTCTACTAATCACTTCTTCTCTGCTTCCCTTCAGATTGTTGATGTCTTGTCTAAGCTGACACCAGCAGTGCTCCTAACACTGGTTTGCATCACTTATTCCTATCTGATTACAGCTAGTGTTATAATATAAGTAATAACTTATATAGCACCTTGAAAGGTTGTGTGCCGCCTACTGAACATCCTATCACAATAGGGGCTCAGGCTAGTATGGGGTGTGGTGAGTAGATCCAAACCTGAGGACAGTAGGTTTCAGGATGGAACATATAACATTGGAAGAGGTCAGACAGGCACTGAGGGCTTAGGTCATGGAGGAATTTATTGGTGAGGGGGAGGGTTTTGGAAAGGATGCAGGACTTAATTGTGTTTGGTTTTGAAATAAAGCCGTGTGTCATCAGTATAGAAATGGAAGTTTAGACCATGGTGGTGGATAATCTGTCCAAGGGGGAGCATGCGGATGTTGAAGAGGAGTCTAAGAACACAGCCCTGGGGTACACCTGTGGACTGAGGATTTGGTGGACTTGTAGCCTACAATGGCAACAAACTGTTTTCTGTTTCTCTGAGAGTTCAGAGTGAAACAAGTAGAAGGCAGCACCAGTAAGAACAAGATATTTGGATACACAGTTGAGGAGACTGTGTCGAAGGAAGTGGAGAGGATTCTCATATGACCAGAATCGGCAGCGATGAGGAGGTCATTGATGATGAGGGCACTTTGAGCTGTAGTGTGTTCTGAAGGTGGATTGAAAGGGTTAATAGAGCTCATGTCCAGACAGGAGCTGATGGAGTTGGGCAGCAACAGCTCATTCCAGGATTTTGCGGAGGAAAGGAAAGTTTGATACATTTACTAGAAATCAGATGACTGATCACAAGATCAACTAATTGAGTGAGGTGTGTGAGTATTTAAAAAAATCCTCTCTAGGAATGGAAGCCTGTAAAAACTTGAGTTAAATGTGCTTCACCCCATCTCCTCTTACTTTATCTTAACAAACAGCTTAATTATTCATCATCTCAAAAATAAACAGAAATATTTCAGTTTCATAGCCACATAAATATCAGCTATTGATCAGCTGCTAAAGATGCAGTGTGATAATTCATGTGTGAACTTGAATATAAACCAGCCTCCTGCTCTGTTAAAATGCAGTTGCTGGTGATTTTGTCTGTTTTTCCTTCCATGCAGCGAGGACAGAATACAGACAGTGGGAGCATCTGCCGTGAAGCCTCCTTTGAAGGAATTAGTGGGTATGTTTATTTGCCATCAATTTGCATGAACATYGTTGTACTTTCTTTTACTGGGGGGGGGTCTTTAACCACCAAGGATACAGAAGACTCTTATGCACACTGGCTGCTGCAGATTAACCTATTTCTGAACACACTGTAATTAAATTAAGCCTTTGTTTGTGAGTTATGAATGAATGTAATGTTACTGTTGTCCTTCACACTAGTCTTTGTTCTTTTTTTAACTGCATATATTTCATTATTGTATCTCCTCGACACTCTGAACTTAACTGCTTTGAAAAGTCTCTGTTCTTATTTTCAAAGTTAAAATAACCATTAGCATCAGATTGCATTATATATCTATAATTGTGCTGTTTCTTGTTACATCTTTTAAAATCAGGTTCCAAGTAAACAACACTCTCTTACACCCAGTCATTGTGGAATGGTAAGTTATTTTAAATTAGTCTTATAACATTTTTCATTTTTCAGTCAGATTCTGATTAAATACACAAACCTCTGTAATTGCAGCTGCCCAGTCAGGTTATTGTGTGTGTGAGATCAGAAATGTGGGCTTTTATTTCCCTCTAAGAGTCAGAAGTCGGTGTTCACGGCTGTAATGGACTTCGTGCTTGCCTGCTCGTCCTTGGCATTAGAGTTTGCAGCCTCCAGATGAATTGACATTTTCTGAAATAAGGAGTAATGCTGTTCAGGCACACCTCCTGAGGAGTAGGACTTGATTGAACCCTTTGCCCCCTCTTCTCTTCACAGCTCGCATGGTTCTCTTGTTTTTGAAAGGACTATTTTTCACTATTGGATACCGCTGCCTTGTGTTATGTACTTGCTTCTATTGTTATAGAAATCCTGAATACTTTCTTGTATGTTTTTCATTTCTAGTCATTTAAGGTGCAGCATACCGTTTTTTTAACCTAAATAAATCAGCCCGCAAAAATAGTGATTTTAGAGCTTAGATTAAAATAAAAGACTGTTACATTTTTACACCAGTGCTTCACTGTAGTGAGTGGACCTATTGTGATTGGTTAGGTCTGACTGCCACAGCTAGAACTCTGGCAGTTTTGGCAAGTTGACTAAAGGTTGGGTCAGAACCTAAACCTTTAAATCCGTCAATGTTTGACCCACATTCAAGAGACGAGACAAACTGATAGACTTATACCATCATTTTTTTGTAAATACACAATTTGATGCCTTCAATACCGTTTTAAAAAGTTGGGAAAGGTTCATTAACAGACTGGGAAAGTTATGTATTGCTCATTAAACACCTGATTGGAAAATTCAACAGGTTTAGATGTTAACAGGACTGATAACAAGAAGGCACTATTAATGCTGAAAAGTCCATGCTGGTTTTGATACAACATATTCTTCCATCCAGACAATGATGTGTTACATCAGCAGCGTGTATTAAAGAGATGGATTTGGAAAATGTTTCTATTTCACGATACAGATACTGCATTCCTTAAGCTGCCTTCATGTTTCTGCCTGTGTCTGCAGCCGTCTCATTAAGACTGATATGGAGCTGGAGGTCCTCCGCTACACCAACAGGATTTCCAGTGAAGCCCACAAAATGGTGAGTTCCTTCTTTGTCAGACAGGACACTCACCTTGGTATATTTTAATTTTAAAAAAAATAAAAAGATGAATACAGAGAAATTTTGAGTTCAGAGCTTGATTTAAAAAAAACTAAGTATCAAAGTGTGTCAAGTGGCTCATTGAGTTAAAAGCATCAGGCTGAGGCTGTAAACTGTTTAAATGTTATTGATTTTAACTTCACCCTGTAGCTTAGAGGCCAGCAGTTAACACAGATAGCCTTTGACCAATAAGCTGTAACATTAAAGCTTTTAATTTTCTTGTGCACCGGATTTAACTTTATTACCATGAATAACCTTTAGGGGTGGAGCAGCAGTTCACCTCACAGTGTTATCTGTCTCTGAAATCATTCACTGGGAGCATTCAATATGTTTCCCTCTGTTATTTCACTAATTCTACTGATCACCAGTGTGATCAGATGTTTTTATGTTGTAGGATTTTATCCATGAGTCCCCAAAGTCTCTAATTTTGGTAGTTTTTCAGATATGACATTCTCCTTATATGTTTCAAGAAAATGTTCTCTCCAATCAGCATCTGCTTGCAGGCGCCCTCACTGACATTTGAACTCTTTATATCCACTTTGCATAAATGCTGCAGACTATGTTTGAGGATTAATCCACATTTGTTAGTGTTGTTTTAAAAGTGGAGATGACACAGGAAGTGCAACGGCATCAAATAAACAAGGAGAGAAAGATACCAGAAAACTAATTGGGTTATAACAAAACTTCACCTGCCTAGACTGCATTAATGCAAATACCATTTCTATATAAAGCTCAAGTGAACAGCAAGTAATCAACATTGCAAACTGATTTACAGAGGGTTTAGTATTTTGAGCCACTGTACCATTACATCCGCACAGAAAACCTTTTCTTTGGTGCACTTCTTTCAATATATATATTATATATTATTATTATATTATTATATATTATATATTTATCCAGTAGTTCGGTAACCACATATATCAACATGTTTTTCACTGCAGATCATGAAGCATGTAAAGCCTGGACATAAAGAATATGAAATGGAGAGGTAAGTGGCATTTTATCACAGTCCAACTCTCTATAGTATTTTTACAGGTAGAGTTTCTCTGGCGTTTCTGTCACACAGCCATGTCAGACCTATCAGGTGTCCATTGTGCTTTAATATGTGCTATCGGTATATAACAAAAACAAAGATTCATTGAGCATAGAATACAATTTCAGGCAGTTATGTGCTGGAACAAAATCAAACTGATGATCCATCTTGATTAAGAACTTAGTTTAGGTCATGTTAAAAATTCTGTTACGATAAAACATTAATGGTATTTGCTGTGCTTGACCGTGTGAGGATTTAAGAATGAATTAATGAATTATTTAAAAGCAACTGAAAATGTAAAGCTGACTTTTTTTGCTTCCAGCCTGTTCCAGCACTACTGCTACACTAAAGGAGGGATGCGTCACACCTCCTACACCTGTATCTGTGGAACGTACGTGCTTTTTACCAACTTTATGTCTGACCTACTTTAGTCTCCATTGGAATAACAGTTGGATCTCAGGTTAGATGTTGACAGGATCACATTCTGAATGCAATTACAAAGCCTTGACCTCAATCAGAGTTTAGAATGCAGAGGAAGCAGCAGTGTGTAACCCTGCCAACTAGAAAACATAAATGTTTGTCAAAACTGCACATCCCTTATCTCTCTGTTGTTTGGTTACTGCCAGCGAGCAGCATCACTATGGATGAAGAATTTTGAGACGTTGCTAATCACGCTCTGACCTTTTGTATTTAAGGCCATGTGTAATGAGCATCTCAAAGGGATTAGTGGTCGAGTATGCAAACTACTTCCCTGTGCAAATTAAAAGCTTGAAAATGAAGGAGGATGCTGTCCTGAAAAACACTATTCAAATAATTTACAGCTTCTGTGGAAACAATTTCACATTCAACACAATTACCACCATGTAGTGTAGATGTTATTCATTTGTGGTTATATGTAACCATGTTATATGTATATGTCTTTTTAATTCAAGCATTGTGTGTTCAACCCCAGGGGCCATAATTCCTCTGTCCTACACTACGGCCATGCTGGGGCTCCCAATGACAAGTTAATCATGGATGGAGACATGTGGTGAGTAGCCTTCTGATTTTTCTTTTACTTTCATCAGTTTGTAGATCATTGGTTACATATAGTAAGCCAAGATTCTATGATCCCATCTAAGAGCTGTCACTATTGGGTTTTCAAGCCATAATCAAGTCCACATATACTGTAGTAATCTGATATCTGCCGACAAAAAAGACAACTCACAGTTGTCATTGTTTTCTCTGAACCTGGCCCACAACATCTGGGCAAGAATGGGATTCAGCTTCTATTCGCTCTCTGGTGGACCCTCCAGTGAGACGAGTCATTTCTATTCGAGCAGCTCACTGGTCGAGCAGTTGCTAAGGTGATGATTAATCACTGGGAGATGGAAGACTAGGTTGACGTCTGCCAAAAAGGTTAACCCAGGGGGGCAAAACAATGCTCTGTGTCAACTTGCACCCTGGTGATAGGGACATTAGGTTTATTGTTATTTTATATATATTTTATTTCATTTTTTTGTATTCTATTTATATTTTTTCCTTGAGTAATTTCTGAGCATGGCTTGAGGGCAGCCTGGGACTTAAGCATTTCATTTTTAGCAACTGCTAAATGTAATTGTTGTGCATATGACAATAAACCCTTGAATCTTGAATCTTGAATAGTGGGCGACTGGTGCCTTGAGCTTTCCAGGATCAGACACTGCACCCGTCAAGTATGGAGTTTACTTTCCTGCTGACCGCTGTAAGTTTAGCCCAGCAGTGCCCTAAAGGCTGGCAGGTAACTGGTAGGCAGGAGTGACAGAGGAACATCAGCCCCAGTCACACTCCATCTCTTCCAGTGAAAAGAGAGAAAAACTCAGAGAGAAGCCAGCAATGGATGAAATCGAGTCAGAGGACTCTCGCCATGCATAGCTTTCATCCAAACTGGGGAGGGGGTGGTCTAAGTCGTCAGCTCTACCCAGCTAGCACCGTCATTGTTGGCATCTCCTTTGGGTGCCACAGAAGTATCCGCTCCCAGAAGATTTTCTGCCACCGACAAACATGCAAAATAGGGGGCACATGGCCCAAATGGTGTTCTGGGGCAAGGCATAGTGAGCAGGGAGGTCATAATTCATAATGTAGACAGCATGATAGAAGGGGCAGAGGTGGACACCACCAGCAGAATGCTGGTCTTTATCTTTGCTCTTAAGATGATGGAGTAAAAGAGGGAATAGGTATTATATTTCATAACTCAGACCCATATAAAAGAAAGTCTTTAGTACTCTCAATGGAATTGTTACTCTTCTGCTAAAGTTGTAATCGTCAGTGTTGTAGTAGTCTGTGGATATTAGTTACACTTTAAACATACTAGAAAACATTTTAGACACAAACCAAAACTACTTCGGAAAAATTTTTGATTGAATCCGCTCTGATAATTTGCCCCCTGCAGTTTGTTTGACATGGGTGGGGAGTACTACTGCTACTCATCAGACATCACCTGCTCCTTCCCAGCCAACGGCAAGTTCACTCCAGACCAGAGGGCAATCTACGAGGCCGTCCTCAAGTCCTCCCAAACCGTCATGGCTGCCATCAAACCAGGTTATCATCTGTTTTCAGTTAAACACTTTACTAACCAACAAAAAAGTGTTGAAAAGTTGACGTTAATCTATTGCCCTCATATCTTAACTGCAAATGGTAAAGATACATTTCATCTTTTTGTTGTTGGTCTTATAATAACCACTGTGGTGGTATTTTACCTGAATAATTACTCAGTAGTTTTCAGTACAGCTTAACTTAATGATAACTTTACTTTTATTTGCATCTACCAAATATTAAGTAACTTTTTAGATTATCAACTCACGCACTTTAAACACATTAATGTTCTTTATTAACCAAGCTATTTGTGTTAAAGGTGTAAAGTGGACTGACATGCACCGTCTGGCTGACCGGGTTCACCTGGAGGAGCTGGTGAAGATTGGCATCCTGAATGGCAGTGTGGAGGACATGATGGCGGTCCACCTAGGTGCCGTCTTCATGCCCCACGGACTGGGACACCTGCTGGGCATTGATGTGCACGACGTTGGAGGCTACCCTGAGGTGAGGACAAAAGATACTTGACATTGCAACACATAACAACCATCCAGAGGACACAAGAAGAGAACACACTCCTGTTTCTCCTATACTGATGCGTCATCAATAAAATAGTTAGGAACAGAAAGAGGCCAAGCTGTAGGAACAGGTACAGGGTGAGGGAGAGGGGAAGCTGGAAAGTCTGAACACAGATGGTGTCAGGTTTTATTCTCTCATGCACCTCTGTCAAGTAGACAGATCACCCACAGGAGCTCCAGTGGATCTGCTGCTTGACCAACTGCAGAACGTGTCAGTGTATGAAGTACCTTGTGAGATGATGCATTGCTGAATATGAAAGTCATCTTCTGTAGATGCATGACAAACAATAGACTCACATAATTGACCTCAAATCACAGTATGAACTAGTATTAGCTGCTTCTCTTTATCTCGGTCAAAAGGTTTGAAGCAATGATCCGAAAGTCTAAGCTCAAAACTCAAAGGTTTCCTAGAACTGTGCCTGCGCTCCTCAGTCAATCCATTATGCAAATATAAATACTCAATACTGTTTAACACTGAGGTATTTCTTATATCTATCTAGCTTGGGTGTAACAAATTGTTCTGCTTCTCAGGGGGTTGAGCGCATCAATGAGCCTGGACTGAGGAGTCTTCGAATGGGCCGCCTGGTGCAGGAGAGGATGGTCCTCACTGTGGAGCCCGGCATATACTTCATCAACCACCTTCTGGACCAGGCCCTGGCCGACGCTACCCAAAGCTGCTTCATCAACAACCAAGTGCTGGCTCGCTTCCGAGGCTTTGGAGGGGTCAGTCTGCCACCACGGTTTTATTTGGTTGTGTAATTCTAACATGTTTAACTAACTACTGTGTCACTGCTGTGTGCAGGTTCGCATTGAGGATGACATAGCAGTGACAGCAACTGGTATGGAGCTGCTGACCTGCGTCCCTCGCACTGTGGAGGAGATAGAGGCTTTCATGGCAGACTCTGCAAAAAACTTCAGCCCTGTCGTCGGCAGTGAATGACTTGACATCTGAGCTGGTCAATGAAACAAAGAATGTTCTTCATTAAAAATGAAGTTATTACTCTCATATCTCATATATCTCACATAACATTCACAATCAAGATTATAATTAAAGGTGCTATATGTAAGTATTTTGGTTTAAAACAGTAGAGAAATAACTGTACTTATCAACAGAATTTGAACAAGTAACATCACAAGGTGATAGCAAAGCCAGATATGTTATAAGAAGAAGTTATAAAACCTGGATAGAAGTGTTAGTAACATTAAATATGGCAGTTGAATGACACATATCCTGACCCTCCCCCGAACAAGCCAACCAAGCCAAACGAGAAACAAATCAATCCAATTGTGTTTCTGCACTTAGACAAGCAACACCTTGTGCATCTATAGTGCAAGTATAACATATGGGTGGAAAAGAAATTCAGCTGTTTGGATGACATTACAAAAACTTACATGTAGCCCTTTAAGAAGTAAAATCAACACAAGTATGATTTCTATCAAGCAAAACATAAACTTCCATATCTTATCTTTATAATGGTGATTTTAGCATTTGTCACTTTAAGGCAGAGGTAGGAACCTTTTTCCTATCAAGGGCTATTTCAGTTTTATAACATCCTTTGCAGCCATGCTAAATAATTGATTATTAGCAGACTGACCTCTTTCATGCCATGGAGTGAACTGCTGCTCTCTAAGGTCGGATGGTAGCGATTATGCTACACACGCTTGTTCTTAGCCAGAACAAATCCTCATCTTCAGAAGTGCCATGTTTGGCTTATAGAGACAGCAGTTCCTCCCTGGGTAGATAATCTCTACCCAGTAACAGAGTTTATTTCTCTGCTTCTTAGGAAAATTATGTATTTTTAAATAAATCTTACTTTTATGTTTCTTTGTAAACATTGATTTGACCTGTCAAATTAAACATTTTAATTTGAAACTGTGTGCAGCAGATTATTTTATAAAAATGATATTGGCTTACACAGACTTATTTAACAGCCAAGTGGAGACATGAGCTATGTTCATTTATATATATGTTTATTTCAACTTTGACTTGTGAGCATAAACAGACACCATAGTTCACAATAGTCAATGTTGGGCACATTTATACACAACAATTTCTAATAAATAAAAACAGAAGACATCAGCTCAGTACCAGATTCAAGTTTACATTAGTCACATTATGAGCACATTAGTTATATCTAAGGATTGTTTTATAAAAACATGTAGGGTGATGGGTTAAGATGTGGGGGGGGGGGGGGGGATCATAGCGGACACTTATAGAGAACTTACATTGTTTATCTCCATCTGTTGTATTGAGAATACTGTTAAGAAAAACAAGGGCCACCATATTGCCACTATGGTGAAAAGAAAAGAAATCTAAAGGATAAAACATATGCCCTATAAAAGCATTACTATGTTTGCAAACTTCTATTGACAACTGTTGTTGGAAATGCTGAGTTTGGTGCCTGTATGTAAAAAAAATTAGCTACCAGAGGGAGGAGAACAAGTAAATTGCATCCTCTTTGGGAGAGAGAACCACAGGAGATAACGGTCTGGATATCAGATCAGAACAAACAACAAGGACCCCTCCCCGTATTGTACCATCCATTAGTGTGGCAACCTCCTGTGTTAACTCATATCTACGCTGTTAGAGTCACAGAGAGCATCATTTGCAGGTTCAGTACCCACATCACACTCCACCTGACCGTGTCTTCACTGATACACTTGTAAACTCAGTGAATGAGGCAGAAATCACTGAGCCATGAAACACTGTGAGGTTAGAGTCTCATCTTCAGTGGAGTCTGGACTGAGTCAGATGTGTTTTGTGTCTTATCAGTAAAACAACAGGCCAGAGTCCATGATTTATAATCAACACGTCCAGATTACAAAATGGTCAATTTGATTACTTCATGCTTTCTTAGTTAGGCTTAGTCAGGTTTGCACACCAAGCTCAAGGTTTACCTCAACTTATGACATACACATAATGTGTCCCCTGTCTGTGCAGAGTAGGCAGATGCATTTGCACACATAATTTGCTCATAAAACTCAAAATGTATTTTTTTTCCTGGAGACTCGATAGACTATCTTTGAAGAGAAATAGTTGATTGATAAAAAGCAAGAAGTATTTGCCCAAAAGTGAGAGAAAACATCATCAAATCCCAGAAATGCCAATTTGCATATAATCACATGACCATTGTATTTGATGTAGGACAACAGAAGACAAGAAAAGTGGATTCAGGACGGATTAAGGACATGAGATACGTGTTCCTCCACACTTTCCTTTTCGAACATAAGTCACAACATTTACAATTCAACAAGTCAGAAAAAGTTCAACTCATGTTAGATACAGTGCAGCTGCTGTATATTTGGTGAATGTAATTTTTATTTTCACTGCCACTGATAATTATTATTTTGCCATTGAAGTTCACTGAATGCACAAGGATTTGAGAAAACAATTCTTCCATAGCCTCTACTCCTGCCTGAGCTGACCAAACTTCCATCTCCCCGCCCCATCATATCTACTGGCCGAGGGCCATAAAAACACAAACAGGGCTAAGAAAGAAAAAGTATGTTAATGCCTCCCTACCAGGGACGCTAGGACACTAAAGTAAAACTCTCAGATTAAACCAGCAAATGGAGAGGGGTGAAAACATTCCTCCTTAGTGGAGATAATAAGTAATTATTATTATTATTATTATCTAAAGAAAAAGCTACCTGGTCTCCCTCAAAGTGTCGGAGCAGTTTTTCTGTGAATCTCCACCTTCCATGCAGCCGAGTATGAGACTGACTGAATTTGAACAGAATTCAAAGATTGATTTTGTTTCTCTCATGTAATAATCTGGTTTATGCTGACATCCTGCTTTCATCCTGCTGACTATCATAATTTCCTTCACTAGCCTTGCAGCTGATTGTTTTTCTTCCAGTGGAATTTTGGAGCCTGACAGTTATGGAACCATTGACAGGAACCTTTTTATTCCCAAACTTCCTGAAAGCTAAAGTCACACTTATTATCTCAATCGTTATTTTGAGACACAAAGTCATTGTGTCGAGAATGATTTCCATTATAATGACATGCAGGATGTTTGTTTTTCATGGCATTCATGGAAGTTATCCCAGAAAGGCCACGCTGCCAACTCACTAGAGTGACAATTTACTCTGCAGCGCATACTGGTGCTTGTTGTCTCTGGCTCTCAATTACTTTGCTTACTCTGTGGAGTCACACTGGTATATTGCTCTGTTCACTGGATTTGAGCTCCTATCATTCATTCGTAGACTCCTGTGGGTAGGACAGCACCGTAGGTTCCTCTGAATACAACAAATTAAATACAATTCTTCTTATTATATGAGGTGATTGTGACAGTTTGAGGCTAGACTAGATTTTTTCAAGATGAACTCATTTATATCCCCGTTTTGGAGTTTGGAAGCACTTGTGAAGTAATTTAATTAAACAAAGAATCTTGTTTCTGGTCTTTGCTCTTTATGACATCAACTACAGTATATAGCAGCCTTTTAATTTACACTCTGAACCTATTTCAATTTAAAAAAAATTAAAGTTCTAAATCCATTTAGATCACAGATCAAACTGCATTAATACTGATGATCTTTATGGCTTTTCATTGATATTTTTTAACAGCAGTCTTTTACACCAAGTCATTGTAGAATTGTAAATTCTTCATTAATCCACTCAGGATGAGAATAAACACTGTGTCCACTACAGTCTCCTTCATCCCCACAAACCTTTGCCCAGTCAGATTATTCCCTTCAGATTATATTTGATTCTGTGAACCAGAAAGAAAGACACTTCCTCAATAGATGACGCAGGATTGAATATGATATAATTGCAACCTCTGCTGGATGTGTTTGCTGTAATACTGTCTTTGTCCTCTAGGTGGATGACTTCAATCAAATACATCACCTCCTCCACGTCAACTGTGACTTCAAGCTAAATCACACAAGGATAAACTGCCGATGAGTTTATAAATAGTTAGTAAAACTGTTTATTTCAAAGAATCTCAAGAACAATACATAAGGATCAACTGCTGAACACTTGAAATAAAATAAAAAAGGAAAAGTCTGATGTTTTATTTGTTCCATTCGCGTGTTGAAGAGTGAACGATTCTCTTATTTTAGTTCCACTCTTCTTGATTGTTTAAACATAGATAAATACAGTACTTATGTATCAGAGGTAAGTTGATTCTTGGAGGGAACTGATAACAGCTAGAATACAACAAAGGCTGAACCCTCGAGAGGTACTGTGTGCTGGCTTAGTTGAGTTCGGTCAGAATATTGTTCCATAAGAAACGGTTTTATATGAATGTAAAACTCATATATAACCTGCAATACCAGTTGTAAAATACTCCCACTGATTTATCTGTGCAACCAAATATTAATCATAATCTATGGATAATTCTATATACTTATGATTGGTGATGTTGGGATGATCATATCCCGCAGGAACAAAAAGAAAATAATATATATATAATTAAGTAAAGTTTGTTTTTACCGCTCCAAAAAAATACATTAGGATTTCTGACCATCTGCTTCTACCATCAAACAGGCTGTGGAATGCCTACATTCAGTTCAGGGGCTGTGATTGGTGGAGGAACGCAACAAAGGTTTTCATCCCCACAGCCAAGAAGGGGCCACTGGTGGCCGATAAACCAGTGTCCTCCCTTGGAGCCACAAAAATAAATAAAGAGAGCTTTTTCTCTCTTCAGCTGCTGTGAGGACTGTCTGATTCACTTCACCATACATACATACATACATATATACAATCATATTACAAAGGCTGCAGCACCTCAGGGCTGTGCAGGGAGTGGTCTGCAGATTGCTCAAGGTATCAGAAAGACATTTTATCTGGGCCACAGAGAATTCAAACTGATATTTTTCATTGTGGATCCATTCTGTGTCGAGGATCAGCACCATGGATACACAGTAAGATATTACATATCTTTGGTCAACAAAGTTAAATAGTTGATTATAGGTGAAACTGGACCAACTTCATATGACGTTGTGCCATAAATCTGAGCATTATGGAGTAAAGACCATAAACAGTCTATAC